AATGCCTGAGTTTATCTGGCGGTGTGCCCAAGTCTAAAATCACACCTTCTGTCTGGAACATCCACTTGGTCAAGTTTATGAGCTTTGCTTTTGTATCCTCTATTTCAGATATCATTTCCTTTCACTTCTGTGCCAAAGCTAGACATTAGCACATGGCACCAGGTCCCAGAAGCATGCCCAGAAAGTGATTTGCCGCAGGAAAGTATCTAACTGGGTTAAGGACCATGTGTCCGTTTGACACTGGACATGGCTTTCCTGTATTGCCACAGCTCACCACTGTTTCAGCAGGTCTTTGACCTGTAATGTCAATTTTTTCTCTGTCCTTGGATGCCAGCAGCCCATCACCCAAATAGGACAAAACAGTCACACGCACTTCCTGTGCCGTGGTGCTCACTAGCAAGAGACGCTTCATGACAAAAAGGCTTTTGCCTGAAGCTGCCTTGGGTCAGAGCACAATAAAGTCTGGTGAGATTTTTCTCTTTTAAAAGGAGAGAATTAGGTGGAGGGCAGCTTTGGCCATACTTCGAAGGCAATGAAAATCCAAAGGCAGTTTGCCTCTTGGCTGCTGCTCTGACTCTTGCGTGCTGGCCAAATTCTCCGAAATGCCAAGTGCCCAGTTTCCGATCCGCACGACCAGGCCTGTGATTGCACCTGCGGATTTGTATTGCAACCCACTCTTGACCTGCTCTCCCAGGAGGGATTCACCGGGGACAGAGCTAGAAAAACCAAAAAGTCTACAGGGCCTGGTCCTGTCGTGGAAGTGATATCAGGATTAGGCCCTGGCAATATAATTGTTGGTAAAATTTACTCCCCAAAATGCAATTCTTTCATGAGGTTTGGGAGATTAGGCAGTGATAGCTTGGGAAAAAATATAACTTACTCTCATTTTCTAGTTGTTCCCTCTGAAACTGCACCAGGAGGTGTTCTGCCTCTTTTAATGTCTCAGAGCCAGGCATGTTTGCTTGCAGGTATGCCAGCAGTGTCTTTAAGGTGGTGTAACTTGGTGGCTCCCTGAAGTCGTCCGACTTGTAATGCAGCCAGGTTCTCAAGAGGAGGGCTAGTGGACTGAAAACAAATACATTGACAAAATCCGGTCATAGTCAGTCTTTATAACAGCGACATTTGTCATTCAAGCCTGTATAAAGAAGATGAATATATTCCTTCTGCCATGAGCGAGCAAGGAATTCTGATCTGGGCGCCGTTTTACCTAATCATGGTCTGATCTCACTGACACACATTTTACCACTCTTAATTACTGATCAAAATTAGTAAATGAATACTGAATTGTATCCTCAAGATGCAAAATATAGGACAATTATAACTATTTTTAGCTATAGCAGCATCCTCCAATTTGGTCCAGTATTATGGCAAACAAGTAGAGGAGACACAGGCAAAACATGAACTTCCTGCCCCAAACCCAACCTTTACACAACACAAATCGCCTGGCTTTTCTCGCTTCCTACTTTTCTTGCTTTCTTTTTTCTTGCTACATTTGGGCCACGTTTTGCAGTGTTGCATGCTTTGTTTGCTCTCCCAGAAATGCGGGTAAACTTCAGCTAAGCTGTTGCGACACGTTTGAGGTCTGCCAGTCTCTCCCCTTGCTCTCCTGCAGACAGGCAGGAATAATTCCCATTCTCCTGTACAGACATGGTACATAGGAGTGTAAGAATTACAATTTCCATACTGTCTTCTAACAGCGCATGTGTCTTTTTGTATCATAGGTCCCAGGGGACTTGCAGGCAACACCCCGGGGCAGCATTCTCTGCTCGCAAGGATTTACCGTTTGGATGACAATGGCACACTGACAGCTCATGCACAGCGTTTTTGTGCTGATATTGACACGTTTGTATATTTAGCAGTTACCAGAGTCTCTGATGAAGCCTTAAGCACTGTATGTAGGGGATAAAAACACATCCGTTCCAGAGTGGGCAATAGACTCAGGAGGTCCTGATTTCCAAGGCCATTCCTGTACCCACTAATATACATCCCTTCCCAAGTAAACCCAAAGGGAAGCAGGTTATTCAGCACTTTGTGAAGATCAAACTTACAGATCAGGTCAAGCTTGGACCATCTCAGGTCCAGACTCACCAGCTGCTGCTTCCCAGAACACGCCATACTCGCACTGCACAACCCCACAGCCACCCAGTTCAGAAAGGAGTTTGCGATGGTGGGACTGGTACGTCAGCCATTTGATAATGTATAATCATAATTATTCATAATAATTTTGTAATGTGGTTGGAAAACCTGTGGCATTCTCTGTAACTCCCCTTGCCACAATGTCTTAGGAATGGACAATGCAAAACTTATGAAAACTAAAAACCCTAGTCATGACACTTTGTAGAAAGGTTGTTCCTGGGAGGGAAAAATGCCTTGCGAAGGCTTGGAAGTTAGACTCTCGTCTTGGATTTACTAGTTACGGGGTACTGACTGGAGATGGCATGTGACAGAAAAAGGACGTGGGACTTGTTTCTCCCCAAAACAAATGAAAGAATTTAAGCTACGTGAACCCTTGCTTAAATCCCATCATTGACAAGCAAGACCATGGGAGTTACGGCAATTTAGGAAAACGCTTACTGCCGGAAGCTGTGGAGAAATGCACAGCGATGCACTGCTGAGAGCTAAAGGGAATCAGTGGGATCAACAAGGGGGGATTGAATATAATCCTTCAGTGCATGCCAACCCTCGGACCGGGCAGATGTCAATGTAGAGATGTGCCGAGGGAACCTTCATTAGACTTCTGCCTCTTAAAAATAAAGTAATGGTCCGTATGGACCTAGAGGCAGAAAGAAGGCATCTTCTTTTTCCATTTAAGAAAGGTTTAGTTTCACCATTTTGAGCACTATGTGCAAAGCCATCCACATGTAAACACGATTTAAAAATCCACAATGATGAATGCTTAATCAACGACTAATTAAACAATGATTAAAAAATTCTAGCATGTGTGACTTTGGGGAGAGGCACCTGTACGTCCAGTGCCTGGCACAATCAGGGCTAGAGCTTGGCACAACAGTCTCCCCTAGAGACTGTTGGCACTTCCAGAATAGAAAATGAGACCCATAACAAACAGGAACATGCATATTTGTGGTGAAAAGCAGCAAGGACAACAAGCATGCTTTGTTTGTTCTCCCAGAAATGATTGACCCACAAATAAAAGACTACATCTGTTCAGTTTTGGGGCAGCATCCCAGTCTCTGGCAATTCATGTAGGCATCATACAGATAATTCTTTCTTTATACAAATAAGGCTGGCTATATATATATATATATATATATATATAGCTGATTAAGTTTATCACATCCTCTGAATCCTGAGTTTTTGCTGTACAGCAGAAAGCCACACTTACTTCCCAAGTACTGGTCTGGCCTCTGAGAAAGCCTGGCTGGCATCTCCTGCTACTTTTGGGGTCTCCAGGTTTCCATGCCTAAATATCAAAATGGATATTTTCGACAGTTATTTAAAAAACGGTCCATGTCAGAACGGGAAGACGGTCTATGTCAGAACCTTGTCCAGACATTGAAACATCAAGCTTTCTCTATTTCTCTATCCTCCTGGTGGCTCACTCACGACCTAGAGGGGAAGTGAAGCAGGGGCACAACAAATAATTGCTGGATCCTACAAGTGACTTCACAGCAGAGGTGCTAATGACTTGAAGCAGGCTTTGGGGGCAGGACAGTCCAGAACTCAAGGCAGAAGAAAGAGCACTTCTCTACTAGTCCCAACATCGAGATCAAGTACTACTACTCCATGGCTAGCTCCACTGAAACTTGGAGTCCTTGGAAGTCAAAGTGTTTTCTGTTTGAGGTGTGGGGTTTGGTGCCCGTGTACAACAGCACTCCCCAAAAACAGCGCCCAGAGACAAGAGCACCTGGTACATCTCGTCTGGCTCAACCAGGGTTTCCCTGAAAACCAAAGCTGTCGGTCTGCTGTCCCTCCACGAGAGCAGAGCTGGGGGAGTATTGTGGTGCAGGGTGAGGAAGGGACAGCGATGCTTTGTGCCTTTAGCCCTGTGAAATCCCTCTTCTGATCCAGCAGAGCCCGATTCATGGAGCAAAGAGTTATGCAGCCTGGATTGGTTAACGCTTGGTTTTTCCAGCAGTGTGTTCAGCTGTTTGGAGGACTGCTTGCCTCCAGCTGTCCTACCTTTCTGCTAAAGAACCAAACCGTCCATTTTACTTATTGGTCTGCTTCTTTGAGAAAGTACTGGGCTCTGAGGAGGCATTTTCAACCCAGTTTCAACTGAAACACTGAATTTTTCAGGCTTGTTAGGAAGACATGCATATCATTTAGCTTCTTAAGTACGCCTTCTTCAAAACTATTTGAGATCATTTATTGCAATGCCCCACCTCTAAAGGCCATTATAGCTTCTTCCACAGCTCTTGGCTCTTACCTGCTGAGGGGAAGCTCCAATACATGGCCTGGAGGTAAGAAGGCCCTGTAGGATTTAAAAAACCCGCCGGCATGGGTAAAATCCCTGTGGAGGAGAAATATGTGTTTCTCCAGGCTTCTTGCTCTGCAGTCCCCTGCAGCCTGTGAAACAAAAGACCAAACTCATGACATGAATCATAAAACAAGGGGAGTCCCCACTCTGAAACTCTAATTCAGTTTTGCGTTTTGATAACACAGATGATCGTAGAGCACAAATTACTGAAGTGTCATTATTTTGATGGCCGGTCTAGAGATGGCGCCAATGACGAACTCGTTAGAACCGGTGATTCTTCTGTCCAGTATTACCTTGACATCCTCCCTCCACCATCTCCGTAGCTAACTGCACCCCAGAGACAAGCAGATCTTTCCTCTCCCAACCAGACCAGCGCTGGGACGCTCTAGGGGGGAGAAACACGTCTGGGACAGAGGAAACAGCACGAGTCCGCAGTGCCCCTCCTCTGAACCAGTGCCAAACCCCACGTCCACCCAGTGGTGGAGCAGGGAGGTCTGTTATCAGAAGTGCATGTCGGTAGAGGAGATAGAAACTAAGGCTTGACCATGGGGAATCAAACTCGTCTTGTGAAGGAAGAGCGCTAATCCCACGAGTCCAGGCATATCCCAGAGGTAGCAATGTATTTTGTCTCCCTTTGTCCCTCTTCCAGTTTTACATCTAGGTACAATATTTCTTGTCACTTTTAGACTTGCCCTTGCACTGGCTGGAGCCTGATCCAAGCCCAGGCAAGTTAATGGGAACAAGCCATCATTATTACTCGACAGGCAAATATATGTTAATAGTGGGAAATGGTCCCTGGGAGTGATTCAGTGACTTGTGCGCTACGATACTGGGGTGGAAAGTTTGAGATAGATAAAAGATGCAAATATGTACATTGACAACAACTATTGGATGTTTTCCCCCTTTTGTGTTTTTAGATAGTCTAGTTATAAAAAGGAATATTATCAGAGACTGCTGGCATTAAGAAGCAGAGAGACTTCAACACGATGTCTGAGTTTCTTCATTCCTGTATTTCCACGTGCACCAAGGTCCTGGGGCGCTTTCCCAGTGGTGACAGGGCTGTGTGCTGACAAGCACCTGCTCAGTCCCTTTCTCTAATCATCATCATCCAACTGACCTCCCACCAGCGCTAACAGACCTTTATGAACAAAAAGACTTGTTTCCTTGGAGCTATGTAGACAGTTCACACGAATCAATGCAAATCTATACCCTTGGGATAATGCCCGCTCACAGTCCCTAAGAGGCCTCCTTGTTCGTAATGGCTGTAGATAAACGGTTCATGGTGCGTGCGTATCTTGGGCCCCCTCGACGCATGCAGGTACAGGCATGATGGGATTCAATGTGTGATTCATGCAATCACACATTAGCTCGCATTACACCATATTGCTGGTGTGTGGGGAGCCCAATTCCAGGCTCCCCCTGCACTGGCAAGAAGCAGGCTCGCCCAGCTGGGAGCCCTATGCACCCCAATTGAGGGGCTTCCAGTCAGAGGGGTGCACCAAACCGCCCGTGGCCAGAGGACTGCTGCAGGGGCCATTTCCCCATCCCAGGGGTGTGGGAAAGCACCCTGGCTGGAGAAGCCCCGCAGAGGTGATCCACCACCTCGGGAGTGCAGGAAACCCACAGGGCCAGAAGACCACTGCAGTCCTTGGGCCCCAGGGGTTTTCTGCACCTGCAGGGCAGTGCGATCGGCCCTGCAGCAATCTTCTGGCCCCAGGGGTTTTCCTCACCCCCAGGCCTAGGGATCATGGCTGCCATCATGCCTAGGGCTCAGGGGTGTGTGAAACCCCCAGAGCCTAGGGATCATAGCCGTCTGATTACCTGGGGATATTTAATCAGTTCCAGGTCTTGTGCCCACAGATACATGAGGTCCTAGAATAAAGAACAAGAATTTAATAAATAAAAGCTAATTCTTGAAAAGAGCGAGATCTGCGAGTTTCAGTTTACATGTAGGACTGAATTCCCAAGTGTCACTACGCGGGGCTACAAGGGAAGTTTGGAGCCATAGGATAAACTGACCCTATGTCCCGATGTTTAGTGGTGTCTAGAATTCAATCCTCCTGATAGAAGACTTCTTACATCAAGACGTGGCAGACGAGAGTCAGGGTCACCATCTAGATGTCCTCGCATCTAACCGCTGGACATTCGACCTAATCTAGAGGGCTTCGAGCAGTCACACCTTCTTTCAATAGTCCAACAGTCCTCACAGTTGCTCATGCTACATCTTCAGCATTTGCAATCCCAGGCACTTGCTTTCATAATAATGTCCCATGCTTGATGTACTAGTGTGTACCAGCCACCCACTGTTCACATGAGTTCCACCTACCCAAACTACCAGATCTTCCACTTTCCTCTCTCTTCATGGGCCACCTTCCCACTATTAATCAAGAAAACACCTTCAGACCGTCGTATGCGCTCTGTATCAGCTCTACACAACATTGGCTTGTATCTACCCTCCCACTCTATGCCACAAAACACACAACATATACAGCGCGTTACACGGATCTTGTTTCCTTGCTTAACGTGAGCCTGAGGGACACTCCCACCTCCATACTATCAGATATCCACCATGGACCTTCCCCTGTACAAACACCAACCTCAGACACAAGCCAGCCTCAGCTAAAGTGCTCTAAGCACCGGCTGCTCTCCTTAAACCACCTTAGTGAGACACAAATATCACAGGAACTGGTTTTTCTGTCCAGCAGACTGAAACGCAGAGAAGGGGAGTGCACACGTTCACTAAAGGAATCAGTAACACAATTACAAACGGAGCCAGAGCCCAGACGCTGTATCACCACCTGAGCCAGGTTCTGTGGGGCAAAACTTCGTCCCCGGGTTCGTTGGGCGGAGGCTCAAACGAACAGGCCAATCAAAGTTTAAAGACTTAGTTTAATAAAGAATGCATTCCTGGTCAGCATCATACACAAATTCAGAATTTTCCCATGAGGTCTGACTCTGAACATAGGCAGTGAGGGGGTAATATAGAAAATGTGACATCATAAACATAGCAACAGTATAAACCAATCAACATTAGCCATGATGGCTATAAGTTTATCAGGGGTGACCACCAGTATCTGGGGGAACGTTTGTTCACCAGAGCGCCCCAAGGGATGACGAGGTTGAATGGTCACAAACTACTTCAAGATCGTTTCAGGCTGGACATAAGGAAGAACTTCTTTACTGTCCGAGCCCCCAAGGTCTGGAACAGCCTGCCACCGGAGGTGGTTCAAGCGCCTTCATTGAACACCTTCAAGATGAAACTGGATGCTTATCTTGCTGGGATCCTATGACCCCAGCTGACTTCCTGCCCTTTGGGCGGGGGGCTGGACTCGATGATCTTCCAAGGTCCCTTCCAGCTCTGATGTCTATGAAATCTATGAAATGATGCAGACAAGTCTGCACATGTCTTCAACTTGTTACTGGAGAAAAAAAATAGTTTAAACCAGTCTGTACCAGCAAGGTCATGACCTGGCTACATGACTCCCTCACAAACAAAATGGCAGACTGGAACCATTTTGTTTTTCCCCTTCAATTCTCTATCCCAATCCCCCTGACACCCCAGTCTACCTCTCTGCTCCACCATCATGTGGAGAGGACAGGGGACTGGGGGTTGGAGAGCCAAAATCCACCCAACTCTGCAAGCCCCTGCACTAGACTCCTTGTTTCCTTCACCACTATACCCCCATGCCCCCTCCCCGAGTGACCTCCTACCACACCACCACACCCCCACCACTGCCCTCCCCGCACTCCCACTCTCGAGCCCATGTCAGTAAGGGAGAGGGCTTGGGGGAGCAGGGAACGGGAGTGGAGCAGCACTGGCAGCATCCTCCGTTCCTCTGCCCTGTGCGGGGAGGCAGAAAGGGGGAGCAAAGCCACCGATTGCTGCAGCCTCGTGGAGATTTCCAAGTGCTCCAGCCAGGGGCCACTGCAGGGGCCGTGCAATGTCCTCCAGTTGTTCCCTTTTTGAAACAGCCCCAAGCCAGCTATGCCTGGAGACATTTCAAATGTCATGTGTGCCTGCACCTTAAGACTGAGGTGCATTGTGTCATGCGTGACTTGATCTGAGTGCTCTCCACCTCGTGTATGTGCTTATATTTTAGCTGTGGAATATCAAACCAATCCAGAACATGTTCCATACTTCAGGAGCTATTCTCTCTGATAACGGGGAGGAGCATTTTAGCAGCATACAAATTTTATGCTGTGTCCACAAAATTGCCCACAGCTTACCCTGTGAGAGCACGTGTCAAAGTGTACACGTTCTAGATCAAGGATTGGCAGTCGGGGTGCCCCAGGGGACCTTTCAAGGGTGCCACAGAGGATGTCTCCAGATCATAGCTAGTAGTCATCTCTAGCGGCAGTCCTCTGGGCAGCAGGCACCAAAGAGGTGTTACTCTTAATCTATGGTGTTGGTGTGCAACAAATGGCAATGAGTTGTGATGCAAAGAAGCACCCCATTTTTGTAGCTATGGAAATGAATGACAAAAGTCTCTGTGAATAAAGACAGCATCCTTTGCAACTGCCTCCTCAGCAATCATCAAACTCAGCACTTGCATTCAAAATGGGGCCTTAACCCTCCGCCTCAGGTTGTCTCCAAATACAATTGGTTTCGGATCAAACAGGACCGTTGTCGGGGACGGCCAAATTCTGACGACTTCTCAAAGTCGTGAACAACTTCCGATCTGGACGGGTAAAGACAGCCCCGCCGGTACTAGCTCAATTTGCCATTTGGTCGTGATGTTTAAAGAGTAATTGGTTTTCTTACCAGTTAGGCTACAAATGGACATGGTTAGTTTGGAAAGGGTTCTTCAAAAGGCAGGATAACATCTAGGATTTTTAAATGGAGGAGGTCCCGGAGTGGGCCCTTGGCCTCCAGACAGGGGTACGACTGCTAATTTTTGCCCCCGGGGCATAGAAGGGAGAGTGGGTTGTGCGTGGGGGGAGACCGAGCGTTCGATGGTCTTACCCACTCCTGGCAGCTGCTGCTCGTCCTGGAGCTGGCTCCCTGCACCAGGCCTGCCTGCTGCA